CACCTCCCACCTGCCTCCCAGCACAGCCACACAGCTCGCGCCCCAAACAGCTGGCACAGCTGGCCCCCACCCTGCAGCAGGCGAGCTGGGGCCCTTGGGAGACCTGGCGCCTGCCAGGTATCATGGGGCACCCCTCAGCTCTGGGAGAGGATGGGCCTAGTGGTTAGAGCAGGAGGGGCTGGGAGCCAGGACGCCTGGGTTCTCTCCCCGGCTCTGGGAGGGACAGTAGAGTATGGTGGGGGACAGCAGGGGGGGCTGGGAGCCAGGACTCCTGGGTTCTCTCCCCGGCTCTGGGAGGGGAATGGGGTCTGGTGGTTAGAGCAGGGGGGGCTGGGAGCGGAGTGGGGGCTGATGGTTAGAGCAGGGGGGGCTGGGAGCCAGGACGCCGGGGTTCACGCCCCCCCCGGCACTTACCAGTGCGCTGCCCCCCGGCACAGAGATGGGGCTCTTCACCAGGGTGATGGTCTTGGTGACGCCGCCCACCACGGTGGTCATGACCTGGGCCTGCTGCGCCACGGTGACCGTGCCCGACTTGTGCACAGTGATGATGGGCCGCGTGGCCGCGTTGGTCGTGGATGACACCGAGGTGCCCACCTGGGCTGCTGCCGTCTTCAGCATGCGTGTGGCCGGGTTACTCACCTGGTGCGGGGAGACGGGCACCCTTAGCAGGACGCCTGGGTTCTCTCCCCGGCTCTGGGAGGGACAGTAGAGTATGGTGGGGGACAGCAGGGGGGGGCTGGGAGCCAGGACTCCTGGGTTCTCTCCCCGGCTCCGGGGCAGGGCCGGGCATCTCTTACCATGACGGGGGAGGAGGCCACCTTGACGGTGCTGGGCAGCGTGGCCGTGCCCGGGGAGACGGCCACGGTCTTGACGATGGTGGCGCCGGCCGGCACGCTCAGCATGGTGGGCGCGGAGGAGGGGGGGATCTTCTGTGTAGCGGCGGCGGCGGCTGCCAGGGCGGCCATGCCACTCATCTGGGGGCTGCTGCCAATCACCTGGGGGCAGAGGGAAGCGGTCAGGGGCGCCCCGCGAGCGGGACCCGGAACCCCGCGGCACAGGTTACTTACCGTGCCCTGCGTGCTCTGCGTGGGCACCACCATGCGCACGCCGGCCGGCAGCGAGGTCACCGTCACCGGGGCCTTGCCTGCCTGCCCAGCTGAGCGCACCGTCACCAGGGGGGGCCCTGGGGGCGCCTGGGGGCCTGTCACCTTCAGCACAGCCGGGACACCTGCTGAGGCAAGAGCAGCGTGAGAGGGGGAGGGAGACTCCCGCCCCCAATGGGCCCCTGCCCATCCCCCCAGTGGGAGGCTGGGCCCCTCCCCTGCCCCCCATGGGAGTCCAGGTCCCCCACACCCCCACCCCGCCCCCCCAAAGGGAGTCCGGGCCCCCCGCCCAGGGCTGAGGCCGGCCCCACTCACCCTGCGTGCGTGCCGGGCTGGCCACGGACAGGGGCGTGCCGGACACGGAGGGCAGCAGCTGGATGGTGGTGGTGGGCGTTGGGGCGGCGGCTTGGGGCAGCAGGGTGATGCCCATCTGGGCCAGGGGCTGGCTGGCGGGCGGGGCGGGCGCAGCGGCGGCCGGGGCGGGGCTCTTGGGCGGGTTGGCGGGCACAGAGGGCACCGGGACGGGAGCGGGCGAGGCGGCCGCGGGGATATCATACTTCTGCAGCTGCAGCAGGTAGGTGTCGGCCGTGGGCACCGAGCCCCAGCTCACCTCCAGTGAGTTGGTGTTGGCCCGAACCAGCTGCACCCGTGAGGGTGCTGGGGGCTTCTCTGGGGGCAGAGGCAGGGGTCAGACGCTGGAGCCCCCCAGCCACCGCCAGATCTCCCAGCCGCCCCCCTGCCGGGCATCCCCCGCCGCCCCCAGATCTCCCAGCCACCCCCCGGCCCCAGATCTCCCAGCTGTCCCCCCACCAAGCATCCCCCGCCCCCAGATCTGCCAGCCACCCCCCCGCCAGGCATTTCCCCCCAGCCCCAGATCCCCCAGGCTCCCCCACGCTGGGCATTCCCCGCTCCCACATCTCCCAGCCCCCCACGCCCGGGGACCCTGCTCTCCGCCCCCCTTCCCCACCCGGGACCCTGCTGTGCGCCAGGCAACTCTCCGCTTCCCGCGGTAGCTTCAGGCCAAGCCGTGTACAAACGCACCCCCCCCACCGGCACTCACCAGTCTCCAGGTACCAGAGGTCCTTGCAGCACACCTGGTTGTTCCAGGCCTTGCGGTAGCCGTCGCGCCCGCTCCAGATGTAGAGGCGGGTGTTGATGGAGACGGCGCAGTGCCCCGCCCGGGCCCGCGGGATGTTGTCCTCCAGCGTGTCCATGAGGATGGGCTCCCATGCCATGGAGTCTGTGGGGAGGGGCCAGGGGATCTGGTACCAGCAAGGGGGCCGTGGGGGGGCCCCTTATCCAGGTTGAGGCAGGCCAGCGTGTTGGTGTGGGGCAGGGGGAGCCGGGGGCCTCTGGGGCGGCCACGGGGTGTGTGTGTGTGTCCCTTACCCAGGTTGAAGCAGGCCAGCGTGTTGGTGCGGGGCAGGGGGATCCGCGGGGCACGGGGATCCAGGGGAGTTGCGGGGTGTGTTCCTTACCCAGGTTGAGGCAGGCCAGCGTGTTGGTGGGGGCGAGGAGGATCTGG